CTTTTGTTTTATTTCATTCCGAGTGAAAAATTTCATCAACCAAAAAAAAAACGAAAAATTCTATGGATCATCAATTTCAAATTTCAATCGTTTTTTTTTGTTCATATTATACAATGTAAATTATATCAAAGATGATGATGATGATAATAATGGCAACATCAACATTTGATGATGATGATCGATTGTAAACTAATTTGCTAATTATAAACATCGCAAGTAATTTTTATTATCATCATCATCGTAAGGATATTTCACGAAAGTATCGATGATGATGATGATGATGATAAAAAGATACAAAGTAAATGTTTTTTCGTTTTGTTTTGTAAAATTCTGCAAAAAAAATTATAAATTTGGTCGAAATGTGTTGTGATTATCATGATGATCATGATTATTAAATGCTGATGATGATGATTATCATCATCATCAATGAGATATATTAACAAGTTATAATGATTTTTTTTTTGAAACAAAAAAACAAAAAGAAAGGTGTGTGTGTGTGTGTGTGTGTGTGTGTGTGTGTTCCGATGATCTTGCATATGTGTTTATTTTTTGGATAATTTCCATAAACACATAAACACCGTCAATATATTTTCATTGTTATTTTCGGTTGAATATTTAAAAAAAAAATCAAAAATTCATGATTTGGTCGAAATGAAAGAAAATCTAATCAGATTGATACCAACAACAACAACATCATCATCATAATCATAATTGCAATGAGATAACCAAGAGACCACAAACGGTTTCAATCGTGAAAAAAAATATTCAAAAACGAAACCCGTTCTTTTTTTCGGTCAAACATCATATCATATCATTGAATACATATGACGAATTCAGAAGAAGAAAAAAATCCGATGATGATGATAATGCGGAACTCAATAATAAACACAATATTTTTTTTTTTTTAACAAAATGTATTTCAAACATTCATCAAAAGGTTTAAGGGAAAAAAAGAATGACAACCATATATGTTATTCAGCAAGAAAAAGTGAGAGAATTTTTTTTCGCATTTATTTACCTTTTTGATGATACCCATACTATTTCTCTTCAGTGTTTACATCATTATCAAAAAATTTTTTTTGTTTATTTATTTATTTTACTGCTAATCAATCCAATTTATTGTTTAAAGATTCGTGTTCATCATCATTGATGATGGTAACAAACCTATCATATCTCATCATTGATCAAATGATAAAATTTCGTACAACAAACACAAACTTTGATCAAACAAATATATAGACAAGACATCAAATGAAACAATGAACAAAAATGTTTACTTTTGGTTAAAATATATCCAACCAAGATGATGATGATGATGATGAGCACAATCGATATTATGAAACATAGAAAATGAATTATTAGATACAGTGGGCCAACAACAACAAAAAAAATAATCTATGGTATGGAATTATGTTGATCAAGTTTTTAAATTTTTTTTTAAATATAAATATTCCACATTTGACAGGTATGTATGAAAAAAATTGCTTATTTTTATTTTGAATTTCCGCATATTCATTTGGAATCGAATGATGAGAAAGTTTTTTTTTAAATAATCAAATTCAAACAAAATTTTTTGTTGGTCATTTTTTTGTTGTTGATGTTGGCGCCATTATGATGATAATTATGGCGCCAGTAACAACAACAACAGCAGCTGTCCATTTGTTTGTTTGAAGCCATCAATTTTTTTTTCTTTTGATTATTTTTGATTCTTGTTTGTTTGGTGGTTTTGAATTGAATTTTTTTTCTTCGATTTGATTGAAAAGAAGAAAACAAAACAAAAAAACAAATTTCATTCAAATTGGATGTTCAAATTGTTTTCTTTGTTCACCTTTCAACCTGATGATCATAATACTCTAATAATCTCAAATGAAAATTTATTTCAAGAAGCAGAAAATAAAAAATTAATCAATCGAAGCTCATCGTTATTTTAGGTTTTCATTGGTAAAACTAAACAAGGAAACTATCAAACTAATTTCCGCATCCATATCAATTATGAAATTCAGTAAAATTTAACATCCTTAAATTACTATGTGATTAATAATAATTCACCACATAAGTCTGCAACAACAAAAAAAAAGAGAAATTAACATTCATTAAAACAAGATCAATTTGATTGTTTCGATTGATAGAGTTAATTAGAGAATCGAAATTGTATGAATTTTTTGTTTAACTAAAATTAAACTTTCAGTAACAGATAATAACATCCTTTATTGGAACAATTATGATCTGAAAAAAATGATGATGATGATCATCATTATTATTTATCATCATCATAATCACCATAAAATAAGTAAACAGTCATCATTATCATCATTTAAAAACAAAATTATATTCCATTATCTTTTTTTTTTGTTTGTTTTGTGTTTTGTCGGATCGTAAAAAAAACGAGTTAAATTATTTTATGTTGTTGCTCAAAAACCAAACAAACCAAAAAACAAATAAATTCCGTCATATTATTTTAATTATTCTCGTTTAAGATAATTGTGATGAAAGTAATAAAACAAAAATCTAAATCGATCAACAACAACATCGGAAATGGTTTTTAACAAATTTTTTTGTTTTTTTTATAAACCCGTTTAATACACACGCACACGAAAATAACCATGAACAGAAGCAAAAGTTATCTATATTATTTATATGAATGATCCAATTTTATCGTTATTTTTTTATCATCAGACATCTATTATGGCGACAGGAAGAGCAAATAGTAAAAAAGAAAAACCAACATCATTCAAATCAATCAATTTTTTTGTTTGTTAAAAAATCTGAAAATGATCGAGATGAAAGTGATTACAAAACATTCTTTTTTTTCTGGGTTACCAATTAACCAACGTTTTTTTTCGCCTGCTTCATTTTTCAACTTTAACTTGTAATTTATTTTCGTTTCAAATCATCCACTTGTGACACCAAGGTACAATCACCAAATATATTTGGAAGAAAATATAATTTGATTCGAAGAAACGTGATCATTGCGATACTACTTGATATATATTCACAATTCAAATAGGTCCCAGATGATGATGATACATAGAAATACATATTAATGATAACCAGATCAGATATGAGTGGCCAGTTATTATTATTATTATTATTATCATCATCATTATAGATGTGATGATGATAATGGTGATGATGATGATGATGATGATGGTCATTGTTCAAATGTTTTGATCTAGTTTTTTTTGTTGTTATTGTTGTTACGAGCTGCATTTGTTCAACAAGCAACAAAATGAAATAAAAAATAATGATCCGATTTGCAACAGGAGCAACAACAATAACAACAAAATTGAAAAAAAAAATTTCAATCAACAACAAAAAAAATCCTCATCTTCGAACATCATTATTAACCGAGTATCATTTTGTATTTGCATATATCGCACCGATAAATGAAAAAAAAACAAAATCTGAAATGGGAAAATGACAAAGATTTTGTTGTTTTTGTTCAAGTATGGATGATGATGAACAAAATAAATCGTATAAATTACTTCATTGATTTGGTGTCCGGAAAAAAATTTTGGTTTTTTTTGTTGTCTCCTTGAAGATTCAGTGTGAAAACCGAAAACAACTGAGTAATAAATATCGATTGTTTTTTATTGGAAACTCTAATCATAAACACTTTAAGTCTTGTTCCAAAACAAAACAAAAAAAATTCAATTTCCCATTTCTAAATGTATCGTATAAATTGATCTGAACGTTTTTTTTCTTTGGTATTGGTACTACTATTTCAATTCATTAAAATCAATCATATTGGAATTATGTGGACGCCCAAAAATAGATAAATATAAAACCAAACAGCAATAGCAATAAAAGTAGAAACAAAAACCATGGCCATCCTTCATCACATTCATTTTTTTTTTGTGGATAAATCTTGATTTTTTCCTTATCTGGAGGCAAATGGAAAAAATTGGGTGAAAATTTTTTGTCCATCAATCGATTGATGGCGGTGTTTGGATGATGATGTAATTGTCAAGATAAATCTGTACAAAAAGAAAAGAAAAGAAAAAATGATCAAATCATAATCTTTTTTTTTTATATTTATCAAATAATGAAATGAAACAAATTGGTAAGAAAAAATCTTTATCTTTATCAGAACCAAAATGATGACCCGTTTCTATTCGATATTATTGTTTTGTTTTCTTTTTGTTCCATCATTCATTTATTATTAGTCAAACCAAAAACAATGGATCGATACTATCGATATTAATTTTACGATAACCATAGAATTACCGGTTCATCATTTCGGTTTCAATTATCTTTTTTTTAAGATTGACATATTTTTGATCTGTAAATAATCCAATTTCCAATCAATGAATAATAATAATCAATTGTGATTTTTGTTGTAATTTGTGTTTCAACAACAATTTTGAAAATTCAGTGACAATTTTGAAATTAATAAATTGTAAATAATAAGAAGATAATAATAAACAATGATTTCAAACAATGTTTGATGGTGAAAAGAAAACCGATTTTTTTCCTACTCAAATATAATTGCGATCAATCATAATGTTCGATAATACAATGACATAATTACGATCGATTTGATCATTGATGATGATGATATCGATTTTGTTTCCTAACGATGACAATATGATCAAAAGATGATAATCGATAAAAACTTTTTTTTTTCTTGCAATCGATTTTGTTGTTGCTTTGACTAATGATGATGATCCTGATATCGGCAGCTGAACTAATTATAATGACAAAATCGATCAAAAAAAAAAAATTTGTTGTTGTTGTTTTCAAACAATGACAAGTATACACAAATACAATTGAAACTACAATGATGAAAAAAATAAAGTGTCAATGAACGAATTTCTAAAAGTATATTTTGTCATTTCCGCATCATCTTTATCATAAATGAGAATTGTTTTTTTTTTAATTCGGATTAATTCTTGATTATTAAATTTTCTTTTTGCAAAAATAATCATTCAACAACTGCTGCCATCTATTCGAATGATTCAATAATACAAATTAATCATTCGAATTTGTTGATTAATTTGTTGGGAAATTGTTTAAATTGGCATTCATTTTTTCTACTGATTACACTAATATATAACTAGTGCCGATTGTAAATTTTACTTTTGGTTTGATAATTTTTTTTTACTTGATCACCTTAAATTGGTCGAGTGTCGATTATAATATATCGACCTTTAAAATATAATAAGTGTAAAATTTTCTTTTAAAAATGTACTGGTTTTATTATCGTAACCGAATCAAGAGAACACATAGTGGACGTGATACATTTACAAATACTTCCGGTGCTATACCATTGACATTTGCATCAAGTCAATTATTAGCAGAATTGGAATCATTACGTGAACAAATTCTTACAATATTAATCGAAGATGATGATCCAGATTCCACCAAAGATGACAATCTTGAGGAAATTTTAAGAAAATACTATCAACTATTTCGAGGTTTTATTTATTTGCCCACCGAATCCAGTATTAGACCATCATCAGCATCAACAAAAAAACTAAATGCTGATAAATCAAAAATCTATCAAGCAATGGGAAAGTCACCATTACGACGTTTATTTCGTTTTAAATGGGATGATTCAATAACCGATGCAAAAGTATCGGCTAACGATACCTTATTTGAATTGATTTCAATGATCACTAATCATGCCATTTGGCTGATGCATTGGTGTCAGAATATATCTTTGAGTTTACCGATGAATTATTTGCCACAACATGTTCCCATAATGCAAAAAATTTTTCGTCGTGCTGCTGGTGAATTTCAAATTGCATTTCAAATATTTCAACCACAATTACCTGAACAATTGCATAATCGAATTGATTCTAGTAATGTTAACATTTTACAAGCATATTATTATCAATGTTTAGCTGAAGGATGGGAATTATGGTTTCTCAGAATATTACAAAATATGGTTGTTTTTCAAGACGATCGTTGGAAATTAAAACCATATGGTGGATCTGTTGATCCGAAATCAATTTCTAGAATAGCATCGAATATTTATGAACATTTCAATCAATCAATGGAACGTATACAAATAGTAAAAACTGAATTAATTAATCTTCAAAGAAGTTCTGATGCCAATTTCTATAATGAATGGTTAGCATATTTAGAAATAAAATCCTATTATTTTCAAGCATGGAATTATCTCGCCAATAGCAATGAACGTTGGCTTATTGCGCCTGAACCAGGAAAAATTCAACAACAATTACAACAAGAGTTGAAAGAAATTGAAAAACATTATACAGAGATGAAAAATTTCATTGAAAAATATAATTCATTAATGAATAAAAGTCCAGAAAATCAAATCAACAAAGAATCAATGTTAGTTGAATATCGATTATATTCACAAATGCTACAGGAACAAGTGGACAAATTGGAACGATCAGTCGGTATTAATTCGCTTTTTGATGATCGTATTCAATCAACTATGATTCCAAAAGCTATGGAACCGATTCAATATCTATTTCCTGAATTTGATAAAATTTGGAACTCCAATTTCTATAGTGAATTCGGTGTACATCTACCGCGTGAAGCTGCAGAAGCACTTGCCGCACAAATTAAACGTCAAAAAGAAAAAGAAGAGCGAAAATTAGCTGGTAAGTTTTCAATATTTTTTTACAAGTATTTACAATTTCATTTTATTTTTTTTTTTGAAATTAAAAAAAAATTCTAGAAAAAAACTCACCAAAGAAAAAACAGTCACCTTTCAATAGGATTTCAAGAATATTTAAACGAAAATCACCACATGTTATTAAAAGTTTATCAAGTAAAGCTAGTACGACTGATGTAAATTTTAAATCACCAAAACCTTATCTTTCACCAAGAAAAATACCATTTGGTCATGAAATTACACCTATTCCTGTACCGGATCGACATGGTAAAAATCTATTAGCATCAGCACCATTGGTTATACCGGAATCGAAAGCTGAAGAAATGTATAAAAGCAATATATCATCATCATCATCATCACGATTTCAGAAAATAATATCATCACCACGATCTCAAAAACCGATATCACCATCGAATAGATCAACTACTAAAATACAACAGCAACGGCCAAATATAATGACTATATTAAAAAAAAGTCAAGATCTTAACCGAACAACGAGTTTGTTTGGTTCCCAAATAAATAGTTCGGCAGAAGTTTCGAAACAATAACAAAAGAATTAAAATTAAATTATTTCATTTTGAATTTATAATGATAAATTTATATATCATAAGTGAGTGAAAAGAAATAATCAGAATCTGATAAATTATTTAGGTTTTAAAACAATTTTTGTCGAATTTTTTTTCTGCTCATTTTTTTCTACAACACACAAATCATGATTGATATTTATAATCGAGAATATCAAATCAATCATCGTATTTTGTTTTGGCTTTCTAAAATAATAAAATTTGATATCCCTTATCACAAATCAATGCCGATATCGCGTTCATTCAAATTGATAGATAAATCGAAATATTTTTCCTTTTTTAATTGTTTAAAAATAGAAATTTGAGTAAAATTAAAGTTCATTTTTATTCCTTAACATTATTGATTCATTACAAACTTCATTTTTTTAAATAAACTAATTTTTTTTTTTTGAATCCTGGGTACTTTTATTTCCTCGAAATTAATTTCTTTAAGCCATTCTAATTGATTTTAAGAATTTTTTCCTATGTGTATTTAATTGTTTGCAATGATGATAAAAATTTCTCCCATTATTTCGCTTTATCGTTTCAATACATCAATCGTACAACGATGTAAACCGAAACAGATAATATCACGACATCTGTCCACTAAAGATCATAGTTATTTGAGGTAAATAACATGAAAAAAATGTAATCATTATGATGAGCGATTTAAAAATTTGCAAATTTTTTTATAAATTTTATAAAATTACAACAGTCCATATGTTCAATTACCATATTCATATGCTTTTGGACGTAGTGAAGGAAATGTTATTTATAAAACTCTTGGACAACTTATGGATGAACGTGCGGAAAAAGGTAATCATTTGTAAATAATTTTCATATTCAATATTATTGATCATCATTCATAAATCAATCAAATATAGATTCGGGTAGACCATTCATAGTAAGTCATCATGAAAATCTAAAGAAATATTATGGCGATTTTTATGAAGAAATCAATCATTTGGCAATGGCTATGCATGATATTTTGGACATAAAACGTGGTGATGTTGTTGGAATTTGGAGTGGAAATGTTTATGATTGGATTGTAATACAATATGCTTGTTTACGTCTTGGTGCTATTCTTTGTACGGCTAATCCATTCTATCAATCGTTTGAATTAGATTATGCTATTCGTAAAGGTGAAATGAAAGCATTATTTATGCCCGGTAAACAATCACGACAAGATTATGTAAATAATTATGCCAAAATTATTCGTGAAACTTTGTCCAATAAATTCGAGGTTTGTAATAATGCTTTTCTATGCATTTAAATCAATAATTTTTTTTTGCCAAATTAGAATGAAGGACTTCCACTTTATTTGAAGAATATCATCTCTATCGATGGGGAACGTTATGAAGAGAATTATTTTCCATCCATTCTTCAGATCAAAACATTTGAATTGAATAAACTAAAACAATTTAAAAAAGAAATGGATCGATCATTAATCGAGGCTGTGATGCCTGATGATCCAGCCAAAATTGTATTTACATCCGGTACGACAGGAAAACCTAAAGGAGCTTGTTTATCACATTTTACGCTTGCCAATAATGTTTCAATTGTAATGAAACAATTTGATGTGATTGGTGAAGCAAATTGTTGTCTACCATTACCATTTTTTCATTCATTTGCTGGTGTACTTGGTAATCTAATGCCATTGGCATTTCCTGAATCACAAATAGTCATACCATTTTTGAAATATAATTTACGAGAATTTGTTGAATCTATTCAGAAACATAATGTTTCATTTTTGTTTGCAACTCCAACATTGGCCATTGATTTATTTAATTATGTTGCCCGAAAAAATTATCAATTACCAACATTGAAAGCTGTTTTAGCTGGTGGTGCAGCTGTACCCGAAGAAACTGTATATCAATTTAAAGCTACAATTCCAAGTTGTACAGATTTTAGAATCGGTTATGGAGCAACTGAAACTGGACCCGGTTTAACTGGAAATCGAGTAGATACTTCGGATGCAGATAAAGCTCAAACTGTTGGTCAACCGCTCGATTTTATTGAAGTGAAAATTGTTGACCAAACAACAAATAAATTAGTTAAAATTGGTGAAACCGGTGAAATTCATACCAGAGGACATAATGTAATGATCGGTTATTGGAAAGAACCGGAAAAAACTGCTAAAGTACTACAAAATGGATGGTATAATACAGAGTAAGTTTCAATGTATGCATTTAATCAAATGAAGAAAATCTCAACAAATAATTTCACAGAGATCTCGGAACTATGGACGAAAGAGGATATATTAAAATAGTTGGACGTTCGAAAGAATTGATCATTGTTGGTGGTGAGAATGTTTATCCACGCGAAATTGAAGAAGTATTGCACATGTTACCAAGTATAGAAATTGCAAGCGTAAGTTTACAAACTTTGATCTGAAAAAAAATTTAATTAATATCTTACAACAAAAGGTTGTCGGTGTACCTGATGAACGTCGCGGTGAAGAACTTTGTGCCTGGATTAAATATCGTGAAAATGTTCCACAAGAATCACATGAACAATTACGAGAATTTTGCAAAGGAAAAGTAATAATTTCAAAAAATTTCTATTTTTATTCATATCATCATTCTCAATTTTTTTTCATTCAAATATAGTTGGCCTATTTCAAAGTTCCAAAATATTTTCTTACAGTTGATGATTTTCCTATGACACCAACAAGAAAACAGCAGAAATTCATAATGCAAAAAATGTCAATTGAAAAATTAAAACTAAAACCGAAAAAAGAATAAAATTCGATTAACAAAAAAAAAAAATAGGTTTGAAAATTTCAACGATAGATGTCGATACTATATCATGGAAATGTTAGCAAGAATTTCAATTGATTCTGGATGAAGATCATTTTATTTATTATTTTTTGTTTAAATAAAAATGAAAATTTTAACAACTTTACTAATTATTTCATGTAAATAATAGAGCATTTTATATGTTTATAAGTGTCAGTAGGCAGGTTTGAAATTTATTCATAAGTCTGCATTACATATTGATCGGTTTACCAAAATAAGCTGAAAGATTTGCTTCACGAAGTGCTTCCGAAACGGTTGGATGTGCATGACAAACACGTGCAACATCTTCTGCTGATGCACCATATTCCATTGCTAGTACAGCTTCATTGATAATTTCACCGGCAACACCGGCAATCATATGAACACCAAGTATACGATCAGTTTTTTTATCGGCCAATACTTTGACAAGACCATCGGTTTCATTATTAGTTTTTGCCCGACTATTAGCTAACATAAGGAATTTTCCAACTTTATATTCAATTTTTTGTGCTTTTAAATCTTCTTCAGTTTTCCCAACCCAGGCAACTTCTGGAAATGTATAGATAACTGATGGTACACAATTATAATCAATATGAACCGGACCGCCAGCAATACCTTCAACAGTAACGATACCTTCATCTTCGGCTTTATGTGCTAACATTGGACCTGGTACACAATCACCGATAGCATAAATATTTGGTACATTTGTTTGGAATCGTGAATTTACTTTGATTCGATTTTTTTCATCTTTTTCGACACCAACTTTTTCGAGACCAAGATTTTCTGTATAAGGTCTACGACCGACCGATACTAATAAAACATTTGATGTTAATGTTTCTGGATTGCCACCTTTAGCCGATTCGATTTGGATTTCTACCTGATCATCTGATACTTTATTTGCCGATAAAACTTTTGTATTCAGTTTAAATTTCAATCCTTGTTTTGCTAAAATTTGTTGAAATTTTTTGGCTATTTCATTATCAATACCCATGCCGCCGATTTGTCCAAGAAATTCAACAACAGTAACATCGGCACCTAATCGTGACCAGACTGATCCTAATTCCAATCCAATAACACCACCACCAATGACAATCATTTTTTCTGGAACTTTTTCCAATGAAAGAGCACCCGTTGATGAAACAATTGTTTTTTCATCGATTTCAATACCAGGAAAAGGTGTCACTTCAGAGCCAGTAGCTATCAATATATTATTTGCTTTGACTATTTCAGTTGAATTATCATTTTTCGTTATCATTACTTCATTTGTGCCGGTAATTTGACCAAATCCTTCTATATGTGTGACTTTATTCTTTTTAAATAGTTGAGCAATACCACCGGTCAATGCTTTGACTGCACCACGTTTCTGTTCCATAAGCACATCCAAATTTAATCGTACATTATCAAATTCGATACCACGTTCTTTGAATTCATTATGTACAGCCATATGATAATAATGTGAATTATGCAATAATGCTTTCGATGGTATACAGCCAACATTTAAACAAGTACCACCAAGTGTTTCACGTTTTTCGACACAAACAGTTTTCATACCGATTTGTGATGCTTTTATGGCGGCAACATAACCACCGGGACCACCACCAATAACAACAAGATCAGCATCCAATGTTGGTGTGGATAAATTTCTAACCGATTGATTTGCACCAGTAGAAGATGCTATAGTAATTCTTGATAATATCGATGAATTTTGATTTATCAAACGAATTGAAGAATTTAATAGTGATGATGCCATCGTTGTTTTATAATTTAAATTCGATGACAAATAAAAGTGTACACAGAAAAAAGTAAAAAGATAAAAAATTTCAAATTAAAATTGCATATAGTGAATATTTTCTTCGTTAATAATCACTGTGATTGATGATGATGATGATGAACATAATCGTCTAATGATGACCTGTTAATCAATTTGAATTTAATGTTTTTCTTATGGATAACATTGAAATATTATGGAAAGGACAGTATCAGCCACACAACACATGCATTGAAGATATTTGCCAAGGAGACATTCCGAATTAAATTATATTGGTGGAAGGCAAGCAAACAGACAGAAAGACTCAGCTGAAATACAATCGGCTTTTAAAATGAATGAATAATCGATACTATCGATATTGAATATTTTTTCTATTTCGAACAATTCTTGCATTCCTAATTAAATTAATAGGAGTTGAGTTCTATTTATACAAAAAAAAAATTAATAATTTAATGTGAAATTCAATTTTTTCCATCAATTTTTATTGAATTCATCTAAATAATTGCAAATTTTAAAATTGAATTTCGATTGTAATTGAAAAAAAAAACATAATTCAATGTACAATATGATGAAACCAACGTAAAATACGACAAAGATTCATTCATTCATTCATTCATAATAGATTCGAATATTTATAATTGAATGAATGAGAAACACACTAATGACATTGATAACATTGACCGCAATCAATTTGAGATCGATTGTTTGATTGATTGATTGAATATTATAGTTTTTTCTTCTTTTGAACATCAAGAAAAAAATTGACCATGGATACCATCATAAACAAACGAATAGATATGTATAATCAATCATTCAATCGAATCAAATGACATTTCATTAGTTCACATACATAGTTAATAATACTAATAATGATCAATTTGTTTCAAAAGTTTTCAATTGGAAATTCAAAACATCAATTTTTTTTTCGATAATAAATTGGCCCGAATGTATCGTTATTACGGTCAACAACAAAACACAGACCACAATCATCATCATTATGATGATGATGATGATGACAATTGACCACAAACATACACACAAATATGAAACTTGAACTTGTCAAAGAAGAAAACAAAAAATTTTTCCGATCACTATTTGAATATGTTGATGATCCCATATATTTGGATGTTTATGTGATGAAGAATCTCATCATTTCGGATTTCATTTCATTCTAGTGAATGATAATTTTCAAAATTTAAGAAAAAAAAAACGACAACAATAATTTAATAATAATTTAAATCAATTTAACCAGTGACAAGTGAAACAGGAAAAACATGAGAAAAAAATTGGTAGAAAAATCTACATCGATATTTTTTTTTTTTTTTTTTGATGCGGATCTGTGTTCAATCATTCAGCATGTTTTTGTGTGTGTGTGTGTTTGATTTTTGTCNACAACAATAATTTAATAATAATTTAAATCAATTTAACCAGTGACAAGTGAAACAGGAAAAACATGAGAAAAAAATTGGTAGAAAAATCTCCATCGATTTTTTTTTTTTTTTTTTTTGATGCGGATCTGTGTTCAATCATTCAGCATGTTTCTGTGTGTGTGTGTGTATGATTATTGTCGTGAGAAAGTGTATAATGTGTGTTCAACAGATAAAAGAAACGAGGTAAAAAAAAATTCTGAAATTATTGACTATAACTGATAAGGAAATGATCGATCATTCATGTATGGATCGATTGTTTTGGTGTGAATAGGAATTATCAAACGAATTTTGTTTTGTTTTGTTTCTCTTCCTTTCTTTATTTCTTTATGGTTCATTACAATTATATTCAGTTTAGATTTTTTCAAGAAAAAAGAATGTTTTTTTTTGTTGTTGTTGTTGTTGTCGTTGTTAATAATGATGATGATAATAATTGGTGACAAATGATAATAATAATAATGATGATGATGGCCAATGGCAACATGAATGATAATGATGATGATGATGATTATGAGGATGGTAAACAGCATTACATAATAAATAATCAATCAAAAAAATGAATGTTTCTTTTTTTTTGTAAAATTATTAAAAAGAAAAACAACAACAACAACATATTGTCTCCGATTTTGTATTTAAGAATGTGATGCGGTAATGTTGTTAAATAATAATAATAATAATCGGTCAATCGAACAAATAGATAAAGAAAAAATAAGATAAATAATCGATACAATCGATACAATGAATTTAGTTGTTCTGTAATGATAATTTAGTCTGTTATCGTCGTGATTATTGTTATTACATTTATCATCATAATTATAATAATGTTTGGTTTTTATATAAAAAAAATCGAAAAAAAAGTTTTTTTTCTTTAAATGTCTTTGCATAAGTAGTATTAATGTACAATAGAATGGAAAATGATGTTCATCTTTTTTTTGATTTGTTCCATGATTGAATTGGATTTAGATTTGTTGTAAAATTCAATGATTATAGATTTGTGTGTGTGTGTGTGTGTATATATGATTATTGTACACGTGTAACGGATGTTTCAAAAAAAATGCATGAATGAATAAATAATCAAAAATATGATAATAAAAATGATGAATTTTTTCATTTATTTATTACGATTTATATTTATTTCCAGCTGATGATCCAACGCCACCGCCACCTCCAATATCACCATTATTTGTATCAATTGATGATGTTAATTTATCAATAGCATATTGTAATGCATTTCCATTAAAAGTGGTTGATTTTTTTCCACCTTTACTGCCATTATTGTTTTTGTCACTTCCGCCATATCCACCGCCACTTCCACCACTAATAATACGAATATTATTTCCAAGATCACCATTATCAGCACCGTTGTTACCACCAGCAGCACCAGCATAAGCAGAACCACCACCAGCAGCAGCAGCACCATGTCCACCGATTCCGCTCATCATATTCAAACCACCCCCAAGACCAAGACCACCAGTTACACCACCGGCAACACCTCCTTTTCCTTGTGCTTGTCTAGCAATGATCGTTTTTACTTCTTCTTCCACTGGACGAATTTCCTGTATGACACGTCTAAATGGCATTATTATTTCATGTACTTCTTGTATGACTGGTTTGGTAACTGAATGCTTCAAGAAATGTGGTTCATCTTCAGATTGTGTTTCCTGTACTTCACGTGGTTCACCTGGTTCATGTGATTGATGAATTTGAATTTGACTGGCCGATGTTCGGAAATTTATAACAATTGGCATAGCACTTGGAGGAATATCAATCACTTGTGGTTCACTATTTTCATATGAATCTTGAACTTCATTCACTTCGACCGAACGCATTGATTGTATGGCCGCTGTTACTGGACCAGTTGGACCTCTAGCACCATTATTTCCACTATATCCACCATTGTTGCCAAGTGAAGAATGTTGTGACATTGGATTGTAAAATCCGCCACCATTACCACCGTTAGATTGATGGTTACCAAATCCGTTATTTCCACCTTTGTATCCACCACCATTATTGCCTCCCATCGGTGCCATTACACTATTATATGAAGATGGTGATGATGCTGTATCTTTGATTTTCAATAAATCAATAACTGATTGAAAATAATGTGAACCAGATGTTGGCGTTAATGATGATGATGACGATGGTGATGATGAAGGAATTAATTTATTGATTTGCTGTTTATGTTGATGTTGTTGAGGCATCAATGTATTATAGCTCATTTTTTTCAATGCTTTTGCTGAGGATAATTGTTCACTAGCACCAGTTGTAGGTAATTCTTCATCAAATGTTGGCATAATAAGCTCATAAACTGGACTTTTGCGAACTTTTGTTGGTACCGAATTTGAGCTTGAACCTTGCATAAAACTTGTTAGTGATGGTTCAAATATTAATGGTGTTAAACCATAACCGCCTAATGGACGTGCAAGTACAGTGGTCATTGCAGCATGACCAAATGTCTCGGAACGAGCAAAAACCTTTTAATAATAGAAATAGAAAAAAATGGAAAAATGATTATTGGAAAAGTTTTCAACAGGTTTCAAAAAAAATTTTTGAATCAACAACAGCTATCAAAACGGAAAATCTGCTATCAATCAATATTCTAATTGGATTGTCCAATGGAACAATTCTAAATATAAACAAACATAATCAATCAATCGATTCTACTAACCTGGTAACAATTTGTTATAAACATCATCATTATGATTAGATAATGTTTTAGGTTATTGTTGGATAACATGATTGATTGATTAGTTTGACGACAAGTGAGAAAAAAAATTTTGAGAAAAAACTGATGAGGATAGAAAAAATTGATCAATCGATTGATGTGTTTTTATAATAATATTGATGAAATACAGGGTGACAAACTAATTTTCACATCCACAGAAACACACATAGACAAAAAAAACATCCAGGAATTAATCCGATATTTTAATAAAAGTCATTTGAAAAAAAATGAAAATATAACTGAAATTTACACAAACACATTTGTCGACCGAAAGATGGAAATTTTTTTATTTATTTCCAAAATTCAAAAATTATTTCAACAAACAACAAAATGGAAAAAAACGAAATGATGATTAGGATCAAAGTATTATGTCAATGTTCAACAATATTTTATTGATGTATTTAAACCATAAAGAGATATTTATGTAATGCAAAGGGAAGTAACGACGAACAAACGTAACAAACAAGACAAACTGAAACTGTACCGTATTTTGACATCAGTTTTTATGATTGTGGTGAAATTTTTTCGTTCATAGATTATTTTTTTCTTGAGATTTGAAAATTTCGATATATTTTGTTTGGGCGATACAATAATGGAAAAATATAGAAAAAATGTGTCTCAATTATCATCAACATCATACTACTATTGCTTGCTACTTCTTTGCGAACAATATATATTTTTTGTGTGTGTTAAACATGTGCTAAGCTAAAATCTTTGTCCAAATTACCGCAATGATCTGTAATGAAGATTTTTCTTTCTCATTTCTAAATACAAATGGTTCGTGTTATTTTTTTTCTTCTTGTTTTTTTTTGTTACCTAGACATGAGGCCATTTGAATATGATAAAAGAAGAAAGAGGCGTGTGTGTGTGTGCGTGAATTTGCACGCGTTTTGTTTCATCTCAAACTTATGTCTCTCTTGTTACAATACGATGTTGATGATGTTCCAACAAAAAAAAAATGGTTCTCTCATTTTTTTTTCTCATTCGCTATGATGCGATCATTTCACTTTCGTTCTCTTTCGAATTTTCGGTAACATTTATTTTCCCGTCTGATAATGATGATGATGATGATCATGAAGTGTTTTATCAGTGATAATATCAGTGGACATTGATTTACTGAATGTTTTTTTCTGTAATTATTTCAAAATTTTTATTCCAGTCAGGTTTTCGGACGACAATTTTTCTGTTTAGCTAGTAAATTATGAGAAAACTTTTTTTTAATGATAAGATTTACTTGTTAAACAATTGAAAAATAAAATTAGCAAGAGGAAGAGAATCTAAATCGGGTTTGAATAGATAATTTTTTTTCTTAAATCATAAGAGAAATATTATTAAATAGAATTGTGAATCATTTAATGAAACATTCAATGAAAACCTTGATCCTGTTTAGGCATTTCTTTTTTGATATCAATTGAATTGAATGAATGAATGTCAACAAAACTCTATGTAAATTTATTCAATTGAATTAATGGATTGAATCATTTTATTTCACTTCACATACATATGACATCCAATACAACAATGAAAATAATATATTTGTTAGTGAATGGGAAACAGAACAACAACACAAAAACTCGGTATTTTTCAAAAAAAAGTAATATTAATGTGTTTGATGTGTTTGGTGATAATATATTATCCTAATATGAAATAATATAACAATCATAATAGATTGAAAAAAAAATTTCATTGCGTGTCTCAAATGAATCAATCAACTCGGGATCAATCAAATTTCAATCAATTTAATTAATCATTTCGAAAAAGGGATTATATTTTTTAGATAAACAAAACAAATATTGAAATTTAAATTTGAATCCAAATTAGATCAATCCATTATTAATTCCATCGTCATTTGAATTGCCTATGGTCAAAAACAAATTGCTTAAACAATAAATTTGAAAAAAAATATAATTTATTTAAAAAATTGGATTTGATGGATTTAAAATTTAAAAAAAAAATTCATTTCATTTGCCCGATTGTAACAATATAAAATGATGATAAAGTTGAAACAGAAAAAAATCCACATACCACGATAAAAAAAACAAGATAATATGACCACATAATCTTGTTCTTGTCTTCATCATCATCATTTTCACAAGCTCCGGAGCAAACAAACAAACAGATAAATAACAACAGAAAAAAAACGATAAAAATGTCAAATGAGAAAACTAAAACAAAGCAAAATAAAAAAGGATTAAAAGTTGTTCGAAGATTATCCATCATCATTCAATCTACATCAACACATTCATCATTCATTGCACATGAAGAATTTCAATTCAAATTTCCACATCCGATTAAATCAAACATACAACAACGGAAACAAACAAACAAAAAAACAATAATACTAAACTAGACTAGACTTTTGATTATTATTTATCATTAAAATCATAATAAAGAAAAAAAAATCAAACGAATTTCAATATTTGTTTGATAAAATGATCATAATTAACATCGATCATCAACATCATACAGTTCATGAATAATGATTATAATGAATCGATTTAAAATCTGATCTACTATTGAAACAAATCAATAAAATAAATGTATTTCGTTATTATTTTTATAAACTATTTCCTCTATTAGTTGATTGTGAATTTTGGAATCAATTTATCATCAAACATACAAAGGTAATTTGGAAGTTAAGATCAACTTTATCATCATCATTATCGTTATCGTTTTTTTTCTTCAATGATAATAATCCTGATAATGAATGCGACAAATCAATCGAAATGAAATCACAAAAAAAAAACAAACAAACAAAGAATGAAAATTTTAAAATATTTCTTTCAAATCACAGTTGGTGTAGTTGACCTTTTTTTTGATGATGATGATGATCAATCGTTCAATGATTATGGGCGATGATATTAATGATGATAGGATCGACTTTGGTGAATTGTCCATCACTTTTTTAATTTATTTCTCCAATAATCGATTCATTTCAATATCTTTTAATTGAAAATTCTTTTCACCTCAGAAACTGAATATTCCATTCATTTATTGAGTGTGCGTTTACTTTATCATGCCATAACGATGATCAAATCCAGAAAATTAGGTAATTAGATGATAGGAAAAGAATGAGAGAAAAACATACGAAAAAAACATTAATTTTTTTCTAACTAAGATATTCAATGTGAATTTTCTTTAAGAGAAAAAAAATGAAACTTTGATATTAATAATGATCATCATTACACATGATATAATTATGTAATGAAAATGTACATCAGGTGAATTGTCTTTTTTTTGTTGTCGGCGAGAATGTAAAATTAATTGGTCAATAATGATCGTAATCATTATCATTGAATTGAAAAGTTTAGTGGTTTTAAATTGTCAACGTTGTGATGATGATGATGATGTTAATAGTGAATTTTATTTAACGCGTTCGCTACCGGAGATTTCGAAAAACACATAGAACTACAGCAAATAAACTACGCATATATGCGTCGCTGGTAGCGAACGCGTTAAAATAAAGAAATTAATAATTCAAATTTCTCACCACATTACACGACAAGTAAACAATTTTTCAGTTTTCACATTACATATTAAGATATGTAGGAAGTAGGTGAATGTTCTTCATACTAAATGAACTTTCTAATGTTTTTTTTTTCTGTTTTCTGTCATTTTCATAAATAATTTTAGATTCAATAGAATTTCAATGCTATGTTGACTGATTTTCAGTTGATCATATGGCCAAAAAATGAATGAATAAATAAATGTTATACATTGAATGGATACAATAATCAAATTATTATTAATATCTAGAATTTCCTATCACATTTCCATATCAGACAATTCAATCGGATTAATCTGCAAAAAAAGAAAGTGAAAACAAAAACAAAAATTATGCATTCGAATATGATTATAATATCAAAATGAATGAAAGAAAAAGGCGAACAAGAAATGATAAATGACATTTTGTTCTTAATCACATTGCGAATCGATCGTTGAGAATCATTTTTCTTGATGAACCAAAACAATTTTTTGTTTTTTTGTATAAATATTTTAAATCTTTCTGTAAATATGTATAAATCCAAACTAAAATCTTGTTAAAAATGATGATTTTTTGTTGTTGTTTATATTCAAATTAGAAAAAAAATTGATTAATAGATTATATGGATCGCTTTTGAATAAATGAACAAATAAATTCAAATGAACATTGAAACAATTTAAATCTTAATGATGTAAAAAACATTGCATTATAATCCCGAATAATAATAAAAAAAGAAAGAAAAACAAAATATTTAAATATTTCTTTTCATGTTGATAATCATCAAATTGATGAGAATTAAAAAGTCAGTTAAGTCGATCCATTTTGATTAATTTATTGTTTCATTTTAAAATTTCAATCTCATTGATCATCATCATCATCATCTTTTTATTGTTTAGCTTGTCATCATTAAGAACTAGCAACAACAAAAAAAAAATGATAATTTCGAAATAGAAAGTTGAGCACAAAAAAAACTCTATTTAAATATCTATCTTGAAACAACAAAATGATCCAGAAATGAAAATGAAAAATAAATATCAAACATCAATCAATTGAAAATGAATGTACACAAATAAAAACGTGCTGATGTTTTAAACGAACAACCATCGTATGTACACACACTTAGATTTTATGTTGACCGTATCGCTAATGGTTTTTAGCAAAATTTTTTTTAAACTTATTTTGAAGAATTTTCAATATCTAAAATAAATTCATCACCAATAAGATTTAGTAATTTAAGGAAAATTTCCGCAAAATGTTTTTTTTTGCTGTGAAATTTAAAAAAACTGATAATGTTATCTTGTTTGATAACCGGCATAATAATTAATCTTGAACCTGGAACTTTTGTTTAGAAAATTTGTTAGATTAGATTATAAAACAAAAAGAACAGAACAAAACAAAACAAAAATGAGAAAAAAAAGCAGAACAATTATTATTTTTTTGGATTTATAATAATGAAAAACAAAAATTTCGCATCAACATTTCTATACTTGGTTAGGTTTTGGATCAGACACATATCATGTTGATCGTTTTGTATGTTGATGTTGAGATTTAATCCTTTTCAAGGTTAATTGATATAAAAATATGTTTTTTTTTCTTTACTCTTTCTCTCCTTATTCAAGTAAGTTTGAAAAATAAAAAAAATGCCAAATCGACTGTGGATTTGTGTTGAAATACAAAAAAATAAAATAATAATGTTCATTTTTTTTCTCCTCCTCTTTTGTCTACGATGTTCCAAGATGATAACACAATGATAATGATGATGATATTGTACAATTTAAACCAA